ATTGGCATAGTGAAATGGTGTTCCTTATACATGTATGCATTTTTAAAAAATATTTTCCAGCTGTGGAAGTACAAATAAGTGGATGAAGAATCCATGGATACAGAGGGCCGACTGTATGTGGCAGAAAGATATTCAAAGTTGTGTTCTCTGTTTTCACTCAGTATGTTTTAATTATGTTTTAAGTGTATTTTAAAACATGTTTTAAACTGTTTCTGACTATGAGCTTTTAACAGAACTGAGGTTTAATTTTTTTTTAATGTTTGTAACACCACAATTTTAGCTAAACTTTTAATTTTACATTTTTATAAGCTTCCTTGGGTGTCCCTTGGTGGGAGAAAGATAAATAAATAAATAATCTGGGTATTCTGGCTGGAAGATTCTGGGAGTTAAAAGCTCAAATGCTAACTTTTCCAAGCTCTTTTCAAACATTATACAATATAGTAAATGCATTTTTCTTGTCACAGAGATTAATCTTTGCGCAGGGAGAACGCGAACTGCTGAACAGCCCTCTGATCTATCAAAAGCTCTTTCAGTTTTACTGGTTCCCCCCCCCCCCCCCCATATTGTAAGAGGAATGTCAAGGAGAAAAGCAACTCTTCTGATAAACCTGTAGTATAAAGGGTTACAACCACCTCCACTATGAAGCGTTTTGCTTAGTTGTTGCTTGTTTGTGACACATTGCAGAATACATCTATCTATACTGGCAGAGCAGATTGGTACCACTTTAACTGTCATGAGTACTTCATAAAAACTCCTGGGTTTTGTAGTTTGGTAGGTACTCAGCATTCTTTGCTAAAGAACTCCCGTATACTCTCTCAAACTCACTACTACAATTCTTTAACAGAAGATGCTGAACAATCCATCAAACTACAAATCCCAGGATTCCAAAGGATGCAGCCACAGAGGTTGAAAGCAGTTATCAAACTGTTATAACTATGCAGTGCAAAAACACTCACTAACTGGATTATATGATATTAATTGCGAGAAGTTGCTATAAGGTGTTGATTTACACACCTAGAGAACATGAACTAAACTATCCTCAGATCCCTTTTTGGCACATAGCTTTATTGAGAATTTTATTTTCAACTTGCTCCAAAAGATGAGATAAGCAAAGATAACACGGTAGCATCTTTTTTTAAGAAACGAATGTTGAAAGAGAATGCTAGTTTCTGAAAAGTAGAAGAAAGGACTGGACACAGCTAGCAAGATGTAAGAGGCAACATACCTCTTGAATGTTTAACCTCCTAGTATTTGGTACATGCTGACAAGCTTCAAGAGTAAGTACCTTAAGCAGCTTATGTAAGACATTTTTTTAAAAAATGAAGCCAGTCTGTACATTTGGACCTTTGCCTCAAAATGCTCTGCTCAAGGGTCTTTCGTTCAATCTCCTATTTGAACAGCAAGGGGCAAATAGTGCTTATTTCAGCTCTCCCAGCCTTTTCATTCTATCCCCTTGTCAGGATAATCACAAACTGCCATCCCTACCGCTTCTCTCCCATGTTACAAGTGGCATGAAACAAAGCTGCTTAATGGGTCACAATGCTGAAAATTGAAGTTAACCTCATAAAGCATGGGCATATATTCCCACTTGAATCACAGGCATACTTCTTGGCCTTCGGGGCCTCTCTTCTCAACCTCACAGAGCACTCAGGACAAGCAAGATTTGGTAGGCTTTTGTCTCAACCCAAAGCACTACCTGCTTTATGTCTGTGATAGATTTTAAAATTTCAAAAAAGGCTTGGCACTACCTTGCGTACAAATAATCTTGAACAAGCCTATTGAATAAATTAGGGATAAGTTAGATCCGATCAATATCTATCCATCTGTTCTTCTTTTCTTTCTCCCTCCAAGGAAAATTTTGGGAGCAAGCAAGACAACAAACTGCAATCAACCACAGCAATTGCTATGTCTGAACCAAAAAAACCTTGGCTTCTAAATAAGCCAGGATTCCAAAACCTGCTTTAAACCATGGTTCCATATCCTAGCTTCTTTGGAAACTACTAACCAGACTTTCCTGATCCTGACATGGCACAAAATTATGAATAATTACAGCCTCTAGGCTTGTATTCTTATCTGCATGAAAAGAAGAACAAAGCAGAAGCAAAGAGCTTACATGGTGAAACATGAAACCTGCAGATACCAAAATCCATGGATGCTTAATGCAATTAAATGCAATGGTATATAAAATGGCAAGGTTTGCTTTTTGGAATTTATATTTTTTTTTAATATTTTCAAGCTTTATTGAGCCTTCATCTTAACCAGACAACACTAATTTGTATAATTCACAATATGGAAGGAAACAAAACATGTCCCTGCACAAATCCCCTATCAGACAAAACCAAGTATGTCTACGTACATCAGAAATCATATTTATCTCAGCTCACTGGCATCTGTAACAAGGTGCACATAATGGTTGCAGCAGTATCCCGATCTTTCTGATTCTGCTTTCCACTGTAGTATGTATGCACTGTAATGACTTTTCCCTCTTTCTTAAATCATGGCTACCCAATATTTTCAGCCAAAGATTACTCTATTAGTACCACCAGCTTTTTATATTTACCCATACACGTGCAGATAAGCACACATGCCCATTACACACATATGTATGTATGGAGTCGCACAAAAAATAACTTGTGAAACACCACAGCATGATTTACCTGTGGGTTGGCAATATAAGGCAAATGCAACATCTACAAAGAAGCCTGAAATAAAACAGTACAAGTGAGCAAGGGAAGGAACAATGTGGTGGAAGGATCTGATAACTGTGTTTGATTCATCAACATAAATTTGTTTCATCAGTGACTAACATCCAATTGGCTCTGCAAAAATACCAGAGGGCTCTTTGTTCAAGAAACATACCCTGGGGGTATCTGGCAGTGGTGCCCATCTCCAGCAGAGATGGCTGGGTCAGATTGACAATCTGTCTATCCAGTTTTCTTCCCAGAGTCTAGACTATAAAAGCATAAAAGAAAGAATTACAGTACAGGTCAGGACTTAAACAGACTACATAAACAGGTAAGACTGAATTTAAGTGGACTTCAGTTAAGCCTCTTCATCTCATTAAAGCTGCCTTCATCTTATATAGTGAGGTTTTAAATTTAATAATAGAACACTACTACACCTCACAGTAACCCGATTAACATGAGAGTGAAGCAGTATCTTGACCATTTCATACAGATCTAAGCAGGAGATGGGATTGTTGTTTTATTTCAAAATTCATCTGATTTCATTGCTGTGTTATTATGTCAGTGTGCTTCTGCTGAGGTCTGTGTTTGTGCAGTGGCAGACAGCTATTTTCTAAGGATCGTATCTGCAAAACCCAATGTATATTTATGCTGTTGCATAAAAACAATTCTTAATTTTAAGAAAATGTTTCTGCTATACAGCAACACCTGTTTTTAGTCAGTTAAAAGAAAGAAAACATAAATCTCATCTCTATTTTTCCATTTTTATCTTGTGGCTACCAGCAAGGATATGGATTACATTAAAGCCACTGCCAGCAAAGAGTGTTTTGTACTTAAGGATCAAAGGCAAGAGTTAGTTGCAGAATTGGTAAAGACTTTGACAGGGATACTTATCTCAGACATTAGTTTCAGAGATGACTAGAGGACATGCTCTGCAACTACAGTCTTCCTTCCGATTCACGGGGAATACATTCCGGATCCCCCCCCCTCTACAAATCGGAAAAAAATCACAAATATTGGAGGCTCATTGATTTTAAAGGGTGTATGCTCCTGCATGTGGCTCTGTGCATGTGTGATGGGTGTGTGTGTCATTTTGTCCCTCCCCGCTTGCCATCTGTGAAGAGTGAGACTGTGGACTCCAAGTCTGCAAACAGGGAAGGACGAGTGTACATTGTTAATATTTGGTAGAAATGTATTATTTGCTGGTCTTTTAACTATGATTTAAATTGAAAAATACCTTTTTCTCATTCTCATCATTAACTGTGGTCCAACATTGTATCTTACCTAAAGTTAATGTTAACCACTGTATGCTCTGACCTAGAATGTGAAGTCTGGATCTGAAGGTAGATTGAAAACTCGAGTTTAAAAAGTAGCCAGATACTAAATAAATAAATAAATAAATAAATAAATAAATAAATAAATTGATAACATAGGGACAGTTAAGAGATCCCAATATCTCACCCATCATCAAGATATCATGAAACTCTAGAGTAGTTTCAGTGTTAGATATGTGCAGTGTACTCACACATAAATCAGACCAGCTTACCTTACTGAAAACCCTCCCTTGCTACCAAACCAGAAATCAAACTGCACAGTGTAAAGACTTAAAGAAGCATAAGGCAGAAATTGTAACTTTTACAACTAGGGGCCACCTATGGCCCAAGGCCTGCACAATTCTCCCATCCAAGTGTGTGTTTATGTTGTGTGTGTCATCTTATGGTGACCCCATGAATTCACAGGGATATCTTTAGCCAGAAATACTCAGAGGTGGTTTTGCCAGTTTCTTCCTCTGAAATATAGCCTACAGCACCAGGTAGGCGGTCTCCTAACCAAGTACTAACCATGGCTGACCATTCTTAGCTTCCAAGATCAGATGGGTTCTGGTATCTGTTTAAATGGTTAGAAGCAGATAGTTTGAAGGACTGCCTGAATCCTGATGAACCTGTCTATACATGTTGTAATCACTGGCCCACCATTAAGACCTGTATGGTTGGCAGGAACTATCTGGTAGGGTCTTCTCAAAAGCAGCCTTTATCCCTAAGAAACTCCCTCTTGAGATATACATGCTGGCTCTGGATGTTGGCATTTTAAAGTGGGCTTGGAAAATTGTTTTCTTTGGCTTCTAACTGAACGGCCTTTATTATATATTATGGTCTTTGTGTGCCTTCAAGTTGTTTGGCTTATGGTGACCAAAAGGTGAACCTATCATGGAGTTTTCTTGACAAGATGTGTTCGGGAGTGGTGGTGGTAGTTACCTTTGCTTTCCTCTGAGGTTGAGACAATGTGACTTGCCCAAGGTCATCCAGTGGGTTTCCATGCCCGAACCGGGACTCGAACCCTGGTCTCAAGAGTCATAGTCCAAAGCCTAAACCACTATACCATGCTGGATCTCTCTTTGTTATATACATACTACTTTTTATTTTAGTTGTTTTCAGTTTTGGCAATTTTAACAAGTTCATTATTAAATTGGTTTAAAACTAATTTATGATTTTATAACTTTCTTATGCTGATACCGAACTATGTGTTTTATTAGGTAAGCCACCTTGGGAAGGCTGCTGCCTTGAAAGGAGGCCAAGAAATACAATAAAAGAAAAACACATCCAGTTCGTAAAGCATGTTCCCAAAGACTGGCTGTAGGACTGAGTCATGATCTCTTTGTGGGTCTCTGCAGCCAAATGTCAAGTACATTCATTGTGGCTGTGCAGTGAATTCTCTTTTTTTCTTCCAGATTTCAAATGTAATGTTGCACAGTGTATCCTATTCACAGTCCTTTAAAGCAAGTTGGTGTATTCTATCCATGAAATATTAGGATTGTGAAGAGGGAGAAATCCACATTAACTGCTGCAATCTTTGCACTGTATCTAGCCTGTGCCTGTAATAATTAAAAAGAGACAGGTACATTCTTTCCAACTAACATCTAAAAGTGCATATTACAATAAATTATGAATAGTGCACACATAAGTTACACATAACTCTCTTTTTCCCTGCCAAATGTTGACATGCAAAGCTTAATCCTCTCTCTCCGAAACACCCTGGCAACATGAAGAATAGCTACATGAAACCCTGAATGTTCTAACATTCTAATTAATAATACCACCTCTTCATGCTATATCTACCACTTGTGGAAAATTTATCTTTCTATGAATTAAATGCCCCAAATGGCTTTGCTAAGGCATAAAAGGGGTGTGAGTGTATGACAGGTTTATGCAACTGCATATTACAAACTTGTGGGAGAGCAGTTGTAGTTCAGCTGTATTAAAGCCCACTGCCTGGGGCTCCAATGCTAATTTAGTCCTACTGGACTAAATGGACTGACAGCCTGACTCATATTCAGACAACTTTATGTGTTCTGATTATATCTCCAGAAAGAAAGTTTAAGTTCAAGTTAAGGAAAAAGTGTGAACCACTATCTTTGTCAGAACTACAGCCTTACCCACACGTGAAACTTCAGAATAAAGGCTATTTTAGCTTTGCTGATTCCAGCAATTGCTTAGCATTGTGCCAATATACACAAAGCCAATATACTTCCGTGGGAAGTAGACAGGCCTGTGTCCATAGTAAACAATAAATCTCCTGACTTACACGCATGCACAAGGAACAGTTGCCAAAACAGACCTGGTCAACAGTAAAATAAATATTGGCAGTAGCTAAACAGTAAAATGTGTATGGTCATAGTTTAAAAACCTCTAGTCCAGTAGCACAGGTGAGATAGTGCAGGATGACAGCAAATGATCCATTTCACTTGCATGTTGGAAATGACACAGCTCCTGCCACCACACCACATAACAAAACGAGTATTCTGATTGACTTAAAAAGCCTAATTATGCTCAGTACACCAGACTGTGGGTTTTGGTTTTTTGTGCTAAGATGCCTTGTGGACAGTGCAATGATCAAAAGGGCAGATAGAAGTGGTCTAAATACACAGCTTTTACATACTTAAAATCCCATGTAAAATATTGGGCTTGCAAAGTGTTGCAAATACATTACAACAAATAAAGTCCTAGTAGCCAGGGAATCACTTATGTGACTGGTTCACTTTAGTACACAGTAGCTGTTAGAAGAAGTGTTACATTCTTGGAAAAGCAAAGGTGTGTTGTTTGTTCTTTGATACCTACACAATGAAAAGGAGAACAATTTATCCACAGTTGGAAATGTGTAGCAGTTGCTATGACCCCAGTTTGTGTTTTTGTGGTATGTCAACACAACTTTGTGGAAGTCCACTGTCATTATTTTAAAACAGAATGATCAATGTATTTCTTGAATTTGATTTCCCTCTGATGTCATGTTTCTACTGGGCTAAATCTAGCATGCTCTTGGTATGTGTTATGGAAATCTCTTTCCTTTTCTCCTTCGTAGCCATAGAAGCCACCCAAAAATCCACTCCAGGGGGTTTCCAAATATTCTGGAATGAGTTTTTAAAGGCAGAGAGGCTGGAGCAGGAAGAGGAGATCTGCTACCAATTTGTGATGGACTCCACTATTGTACAAGTGGATATCCAATGCTGGACACTGACCATCCCAGCCCCCATCCGCGCCGTATCCACACATATGTGTACCTCCCAATTCAGGAAGAATCTCTACCTATCTGAAGTCGATTCTGGTTGATAAAAGCTTCTATCATAATAAATTTGGCATTCTTCAAGGTACCACAAAAACATTCTCTGAAGTAGGATTCCAGTAGATCAGGGGTAGGCAACCTTTCCCCTTTAAGGGCTGAGGGACTTCAGCTCCCAGAAGCCTCAGCCATGTTGGCCAATAGTCCCATGTTGGCCAATAGCTCCTGGGATTCTGGGAGCTGAAGTCCCTCGGCCCTTAAAGGGGAAAGGTTGCCTACCCCTGCAGTAGATCCATAAAATATTTGAATGAATAGATCGGATTGGGGTTGGGGAATATTTTTGACATTAATGCTGTCAAACAGAATATAAACTCCGATCTGCAACTTCATGGGGATAAAGGGTTAAGGATTTTTACTGAAGGGGTAGATTACTGTTGAATAAAAATTCATCTTGAATTATTATGCTTCTCCTCCTGATATTTTAATCAGATCTGGGATTCTTCTTCCTAGGCTACTGCAAACCTAGACAGCCATTTAAGAGAAAAGTCAAAAGCTTGCTGCTCAAATCAGGAAGAGATGAGATTATATTCTCCATTAAAATTAAACCAACATTAAACTAATGCATTAAAAAAGCTAACAATTTCATACTGTTCATGCTAATACAGAGCCTATTTCCCCAATTCCTTTGTGAAAGATAATCTGATAAGGCAACTACATCAGGATAGCTACAGGCTCAAAACAACAAAATTTTAATCTTTTACAGCAGACCCTCCCCGCAATCCCACCCTTAAGAAAATTCTTCAGTCATTCACAAATCTTAGTTCTACCTCATGGACATATACATTCAAGAAGCACAGCAGTATTACTTGCTAACATTTACAAACATCCTTCTACAAACACGCAGAAACCCTCTGCTGATCTTGGTTTGTCTAAATATATCCTAAGGAAATAACTTGGCAGAGCTGTAAAACTTCACAGCAATTTTTTTAAAAAAGGAGGGAATGGAAATGATCAAGTGTTTTGTTGTTGTTTTTTATTTAAAAAAAAACAGGAAAAAGAAAAAGAACCAAAACAAAAACAAAAGCAAAAACTGAGGAGGGAGAAAGACAAGAAAAAAATTAACAGCCCTGCACTATTTGAAAAGCTATGCAAAAACTACCTGCCTGTTAAGACATGTTAGCAATAAAATTCTAAGACATTATTAAGAACTCTGCAACGTGTGTGCTGTGGAATTCATATTTTGATATAAGCAACATGTATTCTATTCAACCAAACTTGTCATGTTCTGGAATAATTAGTTAGGTGTTTTGAAGCATTCCCTGTGATGTTAATCTTCATCTATTTTTCTTGTATGATGGCTTAGGGCTAACTTACTCCTCTTGCAACTGTGGACTGTTCTCTAAATACATTTAGGAAGGAGCTGACTTTTGTTCAAACAAATCTGAAAGTAAGTATTATTCAGGATCAGGAACAATACTGATCCTAATACTGAACAAGATGCGAACTGTGAATACTCTTCTGACAAATTAAAGTTAAGTATACCATTGCTGGGGAAAAAACTAAGCCCTTGAGCAAAGGAAAGCACTTTTTCCGACTTCTTTAAAAAAAATTGTACAGATTAAATCGCCAAGTTGTTCTTTCAAACTGGTAGATAACAAACTTAACATTTTTATCTTCAAACATTCATTCAGTCAAACAGATGGTTAGAAAATTCAACTCACCTGCTTAGTTCCCTTTACAACTTTTAGCGTTTTACCTGTTTGTCATAAAAGCTAGTAATAGACAAGTATTTTTAAAGATTCAAGCACTTCAGCAATTCCTTCCTTCCTTCCTTCTCCCACTTCCCCACCCACCCACCTCATCCTTCAGTGGATGGACAATGTTCCTTAGTTTAAGAACATGAAAAGAAAACAAGAATTTTTGTTTTATGTTATGTCAACAAGGGAATTCAATACTATAGAAATAATCAAGCCAAATAAAACACTTTGGCTTGGTTGGGTTGCATAACATATGACAGCACAGCTGCATAAAATACATGTATATAGAGAGAATAAACAATAGTTCCCAGTTTGGTGCCTTGTAATTCTGCTAACCAAACACTACAGATTTCAAACTTCAAGTTTTAATACACACTAACATATTTTTAAGTTCAACCTTCTAGGATTATGAGTGCTGCACCAGTCACAAACATATAAATAAGTTGTTGGGTAAACTCCTGCACTGAATACAAATTCCACAGATTTCAGTATGAGATAATGAGATGTGTGTGTGGATAATTAAATAAGAATACCTATAATTTATGAAGATGATCAAATCTGTTGCATGGACAACACAGTGACTACTAAAAAGAAGCACCAGACAGTGATGCATCACAAGAGTGACAATGCAATTCTATTATTCTCAATTTCATCCTATGCAGAGCTTCTTTCCCTCGTCATCTTGCCCCAAATCCCCAGATATGGGAATGAGGTATATGGATCAAGAAGATGGACAACTAAACAGGGGAGAAGAATCTCCTGTCATGGTTCTTACCCCAAGCTCAGAGTCAAAGGGAGAGGAAATCTTGTGTTGCCAGCTGAAGAGCTGGACTAGGCTTCTATAACTACACTTCAGCCTTTGGAACAAGAGCCAGAGCTTTTCCTTGAGTCTGGGATGCTATGTTCTTCTACACTTCAATCACACTTCCCAAAACCAGGCAGAATACACTGTGTAGTTAGAAGGCACCTATCTCCAGGCCAAGTGTTGGACTTTTAAGAGACTTTTTTCTGTCCCAGAACTGTCCCATTCTCCAAACCATCTCACTTCCCAGGAGTGAGCTGCTCATTCAGTGCTAT